TAATTATTATTATTATAATTTATAATTGTTATTATAATTATTATAACAATTTATTATTATAATTATTATAACAAATATTATTATTAAAATTATAAGAAATTATAATTATTTTTATTATTATAATTAATTATAATTATGATTAATTACAATTATTATAATTGTAATTAGTTATAATTATTATTATTAATATTTTTATAATTTATAATTGATTACAATTTATTCAACTTATTATTATTATAATTTATAATTGTTATTATAATTATTATAATTATTTCTAATTTATAATTATTATAATTATTACCATAATTATTTATAATTATTATTATAATGTATTCAAAAAGATAATTATTTCGAACGTCCAATTTATCTAACATCCAATTTATAATTTCGAATATACAACATAATAATTTATTAAAAAAAAAAAAATTGTCCGACCGGCGAAATCGGAAGGCTTTTATGCCGTCCGAACCGGCCGGCCAGACGCGTTTTGAACGGTATCAATTTTAAAACGTATTTTTTGAAATACCTTGTTATAATTTAATTATTTTTTAAAAACCCTATTAATAAAAAAAAAATATCTAAAAATTAATTGGTAATATTGTTTTATATATATAGGATATTATATACTAGACCAGATTGGGGGGACTAGATGATATAGGATATTATATACTAGACCAATCCTAATGGATAAGAGGGGAATATATTGAAGAATATGCCTACACATGGCTAGGACACGTGACACGACGTTATTGGACAAGCCCAACTTGGGTCATAAGGTACACTCCCCCTATAAAAGGGGGCTAAGGTATCCCATTCTGACACTCTCCCTACATTCACAATTATACTCTTGGGATTTGGAGTGATACTGACTTGAGCGTCGGAGGCCCGACGCCGGGACCCCTCCCGGCGTTGGGTTCTTGCAGGTCCGGCGGCCGTTCGAGTTGGAGGAGCCCGGGTGAAATCTTATTCACTTCATTGGCGCCGTCTGTGGGACCCGTTCAAAAACGTCAAACGAAGTTCCGATCGAAAAATCTGAGAAAATCTTCTAGCAAGCTCCTTCTTCTCCACCAGCCGCCGCCACCGCCGACCGCCACCCTCGCCGCCGGCCGCCGGAAAACGTGCTCTGATCGGAAAATTCTTTGCGTCATTGGATAGATCGGGGATCTCTCCTTAAAATTTCAGGCGAAAATTCCTCCGGGAAGGCCGTCAATTTTGCGGTCAAAGTTTCCAGATCTAGCAAAAGATTGGTCAAAATCGAACATTCAAATGCATTTTCCCGATGATCCGTGAGAGCTATGGAAAATCCAAGGGTACTACCAGAATCCTCTCGAAGAGGCGAATCTACAGAGCCTGACCTTCGCCGGCCGCCGTCGCCTCCGCCACCAGCCACCGCAAAAATCCTCCGATCGGAAAAATCCTTACATCATCACGAAGCTCTTATTGTGCTTGTTCTACATTTAAAATTTCGAGCAAAAATTCCTCCAGGAAGGTCGTCGATTTGCCGGTCAAAGTTTATAGATCTAGAAGGAATTTGGTCAAAATCCGGTCATCTTCCTTGATTTCCCGACGATTTTCGGTGAACAACTCTTAACCGAGGGCACCATTGAAGTCGCCTCGCCGAGGCGCGCGCACTAACGGTGATTTTTCCCGGAGTCGGTGAGCCTTCTCCGGCGTTTTTTCTTTTTCGGCAAGTCCGCGGCTGTTGTGCATAGATCGACCACCGCGGCTGTTGAGGAGGAGCTGCTTCAGATATCCGCGGCCCACGTCCCTGCGAGGAGGCCCGCGCCCCGCAGCCCAGGAGATCCGCGCCCAGCAGCGAAGCGTCGGCCCAACAGCGTATCCCGCGGCCCATTTCGCGCGAAGCCCAGCAGGAGGAGAAGGAAAGTGCGCGGGCTGCATCCAGCCTGCGTCGGCCCGTTCCCAGCCCGCACGGCCCGTGCTACTCACAGTGGAAGCCCGTATCCAGGCCGCGCGAGACCCCCGCTCCAGGCCCAGATCCAGCCCGCATCCGCACAGGTGCCAAGCCCGCGAGGAGCCCATTTTCGACCCGCGTCCAGCCCAGCTGTGGCCCGTCTGTGACCCGCGAGCAGCCCAGGCTCTCCAAGCGCCATTTCCCTGCCCATGGTGCAACCCAACACCAATTTCTCGGCCCAAACGTGATTCTGCGGCCCATTTTGCTCCCAAACAGCTCCAAATGGAGCCCTATTCACCCAAACTTGACCCAATGAGTAAGAACAGCCCCATTTCTAGCCAAAAACTAATTCGGGATGATTCAACGAGCATGGTGAGGTAATTTGAGATAGTATTCTCATAATGGAGGTACGTGACTAATTTAAATTTTGGGGCATGAGGATTTTTTCAATTGGTGGGAATTGGAGCTGATATAATTGAAGAAAATATTTGATTGATTCGTAGAGATTGTTTGATTTATTCGTGGAGTTTATTTGATATATTCGTGGGGAATATATTCGATTTATCCGTCGAGATATTTGATTTATTTGTGGAGAATATGTGATATATTCGTGGGAATATTTGATATATTCATGGAGTTTATTTGATATGTTCGTGAAGTTTATTTGATTTATCTGAGGAGAATATTTGCAATATTCGTGGAGCTTATTTGATTTATTTGTGGAGTACTATTGTACTCATTCGTGGAATATTGCCGACTAATTCGAGGAGATAATATTTGATTTTTTAGTGGAGAATATTTGATTTATTCGTAGAGATCGTCTGGTTTATGCGTGGAGAAATTATTTGATTGAAAATAAATGCGGATTGGGATTTCGAATTGAGTATTTGGTGATTGTGCTAAATAAATGTGGATCGCGATTTTGAATCGAGGATATTTAGCGACTGTCTTATCGTGTGCTTGGTGAATTTATCGGTGGACTCGAGAAGATAGATTAACATTATATGATTTGATATCTTGATATATTCGAGCCTCTCATTTGGATTTTCGTGTGATAATGAGGAATTTTGTTCGAATTGATTACTCATAATTTTTTAAGTATATCATTGCTCGAGCATGTCTTAAATCGAGGAGATGGTGGTATTTATATTTGATCTCTTATTTTTCTTGCGTGGTGAATTACAAAATGGATGACGTGAATATAATATGGATAACGATATCTCTTTGAATTCTTGTCGAGGAAACATCGAAATAACCCCAGTCTCGACAATCTAGGGTGGACAAGTTGTGGAGTTTCGAGGTTAAAATGAGCGAGCATGGATCCATCAAAACAGGGCGATAAGGAGGGACGAGTCTGGATGGTGCCGATCGCAGGTGGCAATTTCAGAGGCAGAAATCATTCTCTTTTGGAGAGGTAGGATAATTGGGAGTGGCATTTTTCGACCTTCAGGTATAAAATTAATCTCAACTCTTGTCAATGGTCAAGATCGACTGACACTATTTTGTG